TTTGGTCATTTGCCTAGGAGGCTGCTTCTGTAAATAGAGGGAGGTTTTCACTTCTTCTTCTCATACCAAAACTCATCTACTTCTCTCTAATACTCTTTTATGCTCTCTTAAAATCTCTTATATTTTCTAATACTTCTATCAAATGGCTTCTGGATCTGATTATGAAAAGCAACACCTATCTCCTACCAATCAAGATATGAGTCCTCCTACAACAACTACTCCTCCTACCAGTGTTAATCCTGAATCTGGTAGCGACGAATCTGCACCAAGAGCTCCTAAAAGGCCGAGATCCGATGTGTGAAATTTTTTTGAAAAGATAGACGTCACCAAGGATGAACACGGTAGTTTTTTGAAAATTCTAACCTATTGTTGGTCATTACCACAGTCAAAACTAATAATAGTATGTTCTGATAATTGGCTACAAGGTCATTGTTGTCTTGAAAATGGATAAATATCTTCCCACTCAGAGTTGAAAAAAACTCTGTCTAATCTAGCCATAGAAGAAGATCTTCTTTTATTAGACCAAGTATATTTTCTTCCATGAAGGGGGCTATCAATTATTTCCAAATTATTAATCATTTCATTAAACAACTCCATTTCTCTCCTATGATTACTTTTTCCTTTTCTTTCATCGGAGTTAACTGTAACATTAAATTCTCCTACTACAACCCAAGGACCTGAAGTATTGTTTTTAATATCATTGAGTTCCTGCCAAAACAGAATCCTCTTTGTTACAAAGAGGACCATATACTGAAGAAGCAGTTCATATAAAAATTAATTTTTTATTTTGCAATACTACTGACAGAACATACTTCCCAAACATATCCTGTAACTTCTTTCATTTATTGCACTTCCAACCAATCATAATCCCACTAGAAGCACCAATAGAGGGTATAAAAACCCAATCAAAAAAATTACCACCCAGTCTTTTTAGAATACCATCATTAAAGCAATTCAATTTAGTCTCTTGTAAGCATATAATCTCAAACTTATTCAAAAGACAAAAGTCTTTAACACTAAATCTTTTGGAACTTAATCCTAGTCCTCTAACATTCCAAGTGATCAACATGATGCAACAACAACAAACCCCCCAAGATGATGTAAATCAAGAGACTACTCTAAAGTAGCTCTCTCCCGCTCCATTTGCCTCAATTTTTTTAGAGGATCAAAGTCCTCTTGAGGTTCAAGAACAATAGCACACTTAGAAGCATATTTCTGCATTTGCTTGTTAGTACAGGTATCAAATAAAATAAGAACAAAAGAAGAACTCAATGATGAAGATGAAGAAGTTACACCTGAACCACTAAGAGAATCTCCAGGAGAAGATTTTTCAGCAATTCTAGCAACTTCAGCAATTCTAGCAACTTCAGCAATTCTAGCAACTCTTGAAGTAGCTCTATCTAATGCATTCATGGGCTCAAGATCAACAAATCTGGAACACCTCTTAACAAATGTAACTTTTAAAAAATTAGAATCTGCAGGAGGCAAGGAATTCAGAGGTTGAATCATTAGAATATCATCCTCCTTCTCTGAGCTTTCTTCTTTGTTAGATTCTAGAACATATAACCATTTTCCAGTGTCACAGCTTTCATCCACAATGATAGATTTGCCTTTAGATTCCTCATTTACTAGATACTCCCCTTGCAACTCTGTATTGATTTCCTTATTAACAGGAGACAAAGGAAAATTAAAATCCATCTAAGTACTTTTAATTTTATCCACTTCCCACAACTTGTTCAGTAATTTCTTTATTACCAGCTAATTCCATCGGCACTGAAAATTGTTCATCACTATTAACCTTTGGAGCATTTTCCACCTAAGGCTCCCACTCAAGATTTTGTTTTTGATAAAAAGTCTTTGTATCAATCCACAGTTTAGCTGCTGGAGACCCCCATGGATTACTTCTTAAATCTTGTCTGACAGTCTAAGAACTAGTATCAGTATCATTTAAGGGTGAAGATTCTGTCCCACTGTCCTTTCTCCCTTTAAACCATTTATCATTATAAGAGCTTTGGTTAGTGTTCTCCAAATGGTCCACTTTCTATTTCTTCCTTTCTCCCTTAGAGAAATCCCTCATAACAGACATAATAGACACCTCCATATTATATTGATATTTTCCAACAAAATTTTTTAACAATTTGGGAATGTCAATATACTCCAAAAATTTGACTAATATCATAGCATCTACAAACTCAGAGCATGCATTTGTTAAAGAGTCAAGTTCAATCAAATCAGCAAAAGCTTTAACTATCAACTCAAAGGATTCCTTATTCCACACAGATAAGGAGGAACATTTTTCAGCTTAATCCAAACATCAACCTTTCTTTTTTCAATAATAATCCCCTCCCATGCACTCCATCTCCTAAACTTAATCTTACAAGATCTTAGGACAATAATCCACATTCTAATTAATTCTTCCATCTGTTTCCAGGGTTGGATTTTAACCAGAACTTCCCCATTCGTGAAAAGCCTCACATCCCAGTGTTTGTTCATGGGAAAATAAGCCCTCAAATCTAACTCTAATCTTTCTAAAGAAATATCACCAACCTCTACAAAAGAAATAATGACAAAATTCCTAAATTTTGAAAAACTAGATTTTACTTCTCCTTCAAAATTAAGAACAGCAGAAGAAAAACGAGGACAATCACCTAAAACTTTTAGCTTCGTTTCCAAATCTCCATAATCTCTCGGGCCTTGATCTTGAAGAAGTTGAACACTCTCTTGCACCTTGTCTTCATCGATCGAGGGTAACGGTCTTTTGCCTTTATCTATGTTCTCAGAAGGCCGATCTTGATTTCGAGAAGAAGAGAAAACAGAGATAGTCATTTCTCTACGTTATTGCCAAGGGTTAGGCTGATCAGAACCCCCATTTCGACCTGCAAACCGACCACCAAGACTACAACCTCCAAGATTATTACAGTTTCCATAGTTACGGCCACCAGATACTCTCCCACCATTACCAAAACCTCTCCCACCATAACCATGACCTCTATTGCTCAGATCTCCACTATCAAGACCTCCCGCTCTGCAATTTCTTGCCTCATGGCCAACCTCTTGACATCTAAAACAAACAATCGGATCTCTGCAATCTTTAGGCATGTGTTTCGAACCTCCACAACTAAAGCAAAGACGGGTTTTTCGGATAAAATCCGTTGTTAAAATTCTAGGAGGAGCGAAAACTTTGGGAGGCTGCGGCGATCTAGGGTTTCTTTTAACAACCTTCACCCAGTCTCCCTTTTCACTCTCCGCCTTCAATTCTTCTAGAGATCTACAAGATGAATCAATCCCCACCTTTGCCTTTAACCCAACCCCAGAATCAAAACTTACCCTAATTTCTTCCGCATGCCACGAATCGGGCCGAATGGGCCTCGTTTCTCTCAAAACAAAAGAATTAGGAAGAAGAGAAGGATTAGAAACAGAATTAGTAAGAAAATTACCATCTTGATTAACATTGATTTCTCCCCAAATTTTACGCGCCACAAATTCTGTTGTCTCGATCGCCACTGTGTAAAAAGTTCTGGAGCTCTAAGAAGTTTTGTGTTTTCGAGAAAATTGTTTTTTGACGGAGAAAAAGGTGAGATATTTAGAGTTTCATTTGTGTTTCTCTCCGGTTTCTGCTTGTTTGAGCTTTTTATTTTGAGGGAAATTTTTAGGAAACTAATTTGCAGAGTTAGGTTTTCTTTCATTCTTGTTAAATTCTTTCATTCTCTATAAGATTAGGGTCTATGAGATCTTGTTTGGGAGTACGTGGGCCTAACCTGGAGTTAATGGGTTTTAAAGAGAGAGAGAGAAAGTAATTTTAACTAAAAACTATAGCTTCTAAGTTTTGGCCCCATATTTTAGCTCATAACTCTTCTTATTCTATTGAGACTATACTCACACATAAATATCCAATAATATGGCCTTCCTTAACTTGATCTTAACCAACAACCATGCATTCGGCACATGACTATCACTCGTCACTCTTTCTCTTCTTTTCCAATGTAGAACTCGTACATGAATAGCCCAACCGATATATCAAGTGGCAAGAATATCTTCTGATTGTAATTTTTTAATCTCTATTTAGAATATAAAATTATAATCCTTAGTTTTTACAATAGCTTTGGAGTTTTAATGTGATAGTTGAGTACTTCAAAACTATTCTCTTTAATGGATTTTGGTTCATGCTATGACAATTTCGCTAAGAATAAATGAATAAGAGATTCGAATATATACACGACAAAAAATAAGTCGTTATCTTCCTTATGATATATACTGTTTCTGACGTCCTTGTATCCATTAAACAAAACAATCATACATACAGAATCACCTAATAAAACAATTTCCTAACATTTCAAGCTTCAGCTCTACGTCAGGGCACCAAGCGGCAGAAGCTATATATAGGACGTATAAATAAAGCCACCAGAAAAGAAGAAATTTTTAGGATGACGGACCCACCTTTTCATATTTTATAATACGAGTTTAATGAAGCATTTTCAATTATAAAATAGATAAGCTAATAAAAACTTCTTTCATTTATATCATGTTTAAATCTCTAATTCTACACTGGAGTTTTGTTCTTCAAAATCTTCCTGCAAAATTTTAGTTATATGATTAAATGTCAGATTTTTCAGTTTATACAAGAACTGAAATTTTTTTCTCTATTTTCTTCTATTCAACTTAGAAATCTATATATGGATTAGAGAAATTATTCGAGACATAAAAGAGGGGTTTTTTTCCTTGAATATTTAGAATTGTTTTTTAACCCTTGAAAAATCATGATGTAGATGAAGGGCGTTGCTTGTAATGTACCCAAAACATAAAACCCTCTCTAAGTCTTCCACGTATTTACAGAATGCAAAACACTTGTTTTTGTACGAGCCTATAAATAAGAGTGCCAATCTGAACAAAATACCATAGCCAAAACAGTCTTGGTTTGAAGGAACGTCAACACCAAGGCACAATAAAATCTCTCTCCCTCTCTCTCTCTCTCTCTCTCTCTCTGATCTCTCTCTCTGAATATGAAGGGAAGCCTCTCTCATGAGCTAGACTTGGAAGCGACGGCCGAGGTGGCGTGGGGAATTTACGGCACGCTTAAACTGACCGAAGTTGTCCTTAAACAGCTATCGAGTATGATCTCAAAGATTGAGGTTGATGGTGATGGGGGAGTTGGAACTGTTTTTTGTGCCACTTTTGGTTCTGGTAATTACTTAGCTTATAACTTGATTGCTATATATATATATATATATGCTGTGTGTTATAAGTGTTCTTTGTGAAGTTTATCCTTAATAAGTTGCTAATTCAATATCATGCCGGTGCATATTCTGCAATTAACCATTTTATGACGTCATCTTTCGTCTTATTGCCAGATAACAAAGTTTTCAAGGAGAAGGTTGTGACGCTTGATAATGAGAAGCGTATTAAGGAGTTATCGGTGACCCAAGGAGCGCTTTTGGACTTGGGTTTCACATCAGAGTTGATTCGTTTGGAGATTTTGGACAAGGACGAGAGCTACTGCACGGTCAAGACTACTATCGAGTACGAAATAGAGGATGAGCACGAGGCCAAAGCTTCACTCGTCGACGTTGCTATTTTGGCTATGATGGCTGAGGCAGTTGCAGAGCATCTCCGAGAGGAGAAAGCTAATTATAGTGTTTAAGCGTGAAACTTGTTCTAATTTTCAACCTTAATTTCTTGTTGGATGATGGATGTCCTAGACAATAAATAACAAGGGTTTTTTCTCTCCCAGAAATTACCTTAAAATGGGGGTAGCTATACGGAAACCATCTTTTATTTTTAATTTATACATAAGTCACTCTTAAAGTTAGTTTTTATTACAATCAACCACCTAGCTCCTAGTTAAAATTTTCACTAAAAACCCAAAATTACCCTTAAACTTGAATTTTGTAAGCTTATTATTTGGTTTTTTAGTAAAAATTTGACTGGAATATGGTTGATTGCAATAAAGACCAACTTTAGAGATGATTGATGTATAAATTAAAAATAAAAAATGGTTTCCAAATAATTACCCTAATTTTTAGGTGGTTACCAGTAAAACAAACCCTAAATAATAAGGTGTGGAACTTTCTTCAACTTCATTTTAATTCCTTTTGGAAATGGAAAAGTCAAAATTGTCCTTAAATTTGTAATTCTAAGATGGGTAAATATCAGACTACCCCATAACTTTGGACGATTATCAGATAACCCCTCAATTAATATCAGGAAAAAAAACTTTAAGTATAGAGATTATTAGAAATCACGCTTAACATTGAAATTTTATCAAAAACCCTTCTAAAATCATTACTTATGAGTTTTCTAATAAAATCTCAAAGTTAAAGGAAATTTTGTGATAACCCTTAAACTTAAGTGGAGTTTTCTGATATTTTCAAAGTTATGCAGATTATTTGATAATTGTCCAAAGTTAAAGCAAACTTTTCTAATATTTATCCTTCTAAGATTCATAACATTATGGAATTTTGAACTTGCTCTTATGAGTATACTAGTTTTTATGCACGTGCAATGCACGTGGTTAAATATTAAAAAATATTATTTTATATTTATTTCATTACTTTAAATAAGTAAGATTTATCTTGAGTTCAAATATGTATAATTGAATTATAAGATTTATTAGTATTTTATTTAAATATTAAAAAATAAATGTAAAGGAATTTAAGCTAAACTTGGATGAATATACGTATATGGGATATTGTAATTGTTATTATGAATTTTAGTTATAGTAATGTAGAAAATATTTTAAAAATTTAAGTTTATTCAAATATTTTTTGACTTAAAAAGCTAAGATCATTGTTTGTTTTACTGCAAACTTGTAAATTATTTTTGTTCTAAGAATTTTTAATTGATCACTACCACCAACACTTAACAGGAACTTAATTAAAGTATTAAAGTAAATCTTGATCAAATTTGGTCCCTTATTCAACATGACAACAATCTCAACAAGTAATAATTAGTAAGCCAAGGTTTTTTTTTGAAAACAATGAATATTGAAGTTTGTGACAACCCCAAGCAAATTCATCACAATAGTAATTCTTTTTGAAAACAATGAATATTGAAGTTTGTGACAACCCCAAGCAAATTCATCACAATAGTAATTCTTTGCTAATTGGTTAAAGAGGTCACCGAAGTTTGTGACAACCCCAAGCAAATTCATCACAATAGTAATTCTTTGCTAATTGGTTAAAGAGGTCACCTTTATATCATAAATGATTGATCACATGCTGCGCTAGATATCAGGAAGAGTATTTTATGTCTATCTGACAATATATCCATTCATAGGATCAATAAAAGCAGATTTTTATCGATTGTCTCTCACGAAATGCAGGATCATATCCATAGACAATAATAAAGTATAGTAAAATAGTTAAACATCAAAGTGTAATTTTATGTGATGTAAGCAATCACATAAGCATACAAAACTACTAATAACTTTGCATGGAAATGCCTTATAAAAATTCCTAATTATAATAAAAAATTAAGTTGTTATATAAAATGATTAAAAAATATTGTTCTTGAAAATTTCTAATTGAACCAAGATCAATCTTTTTCCACCTTTATCTTTTTTCTGGGCAACTTTAGAGTAGCATCTTCATCATCTACGTCGATTATAATATCAGGCTGGAGTTGAATTTCTTGTGTTATTATATTGCCTTCGCCTCATTCATCTTTTGCCTTTTCATCTAACTTCACCAGGAATTTGAATGTTTTTTTCGATGTTCAAAACAAATTTTTGGAAATATGGACTCTGATTATTTTTCTGTTGCAATGAGAACAAATATTATATTAATACTTATGAATTTGTTTATTTTCTAATTTATTACTTGAATAAAGCTAGGAATTACCTCTTTTTTTCTGTAATGAATGTTTTTGCTTTGCATCCAATAAGAGTTTCTGCTGCATCAAAAAGTGTTACTCTTGCATTATTCGTGTCATTTTTCACAAGTATCTTAACTAAGTACCTATATTTTTCTTTGTTAATTTCTAAAGACAATTAGTATTGTATTTTAATATGTTCATGGCATTAAAAAATATATATTACTTAACCTTGGTACAGGGTCATCAATGATTCTGCAGCATTTGTCATTCAGACACTCTTTACTAACATCTTTATCAACCTTCTTGTCACAGCCTTTGCAAGCATAGAACCATGGCTCGAGCCTATTTAAAATAGTAGTTATATTTGCCTTAAATGTGCAATATCGTGCCTGTATATTAACAAAGTTTAGTTAGATTTAAATTTGTAGATAAGAATATGTATATAATATTGTTCCTGTATCGAATTCTATGACTTATACATAATATCACTAATATGAATTTCCTTGGTATTTTTAAAAAGCGTCGATGGAGATCCTTTTGCTTTTGCAGATTCTTCCAATTGAAACCTGCATATTAGATGAAAATATAATAATTTTATTATTGGGTTATATGAAAGTATGCTTGTTCTGCTTATCATTCCCTTAATTCGCTAGCTAGTTCTATTTTTGGGTTGATACATAATGTTAAAATAATTTACGGCGATATACTTGTATCTCCTGCAAAAATGAGAAAATTATAGGAGTAATTTTATGTTTAGTTATCTTTAATAAGAATTTCAGCAATAATTTATGTACCTTGATATATAGAGATTTTAAAATCTGATAATGCTATTACAGGCTTATATTTGATTTCTGCTTCAAGAATTGATCCTTCATTTGTAGCCAAATCTTCAAATAAAGTTGCATGCATTGGCATTCCACTGCATATGAAAAAGAAAGAACGTTAATCTTTTTTTTCTCTTATGATATTGGAAATAAGTAACATGAATATACCTTATATCCATAAGCGTGATTTCCCTCCTAGTGTCTGGTTTGTTGTGTCTTGTAATATAGTTGATCGTCGGCTTAACATTAGTTATTATTGCAAGAATATCTGCAAGTGATTTGATAAAAAGATTATGATTCTTTAGATTAATGTCTCACTTTGTATTGAAGATTTAAGTAAGAAGTTGGTAAGTACTTACTAATTTTTGTTGCATCATTCATGGAAAATGCTTCTTCAAATTAGACAAAGTTGTTAAATATGTTCTCCAAGTGGAATCTTGTTGGTGTTTCTTTGATCGATACGTCTTTTGTTAGTACTAATTCAAGTGACTTGTGGATACTTGGAAAAGCTGGGTTTATTCCTTTCACTTCTCCATTTGAAATGAAAATAGTTTGATTTTTTTGAAGCATATCTATAAACTTTTCGATAGTCTATTCGTACATTACTACTTGTATTTTGTTACCCTACAAATATTATTAACACCAGAGATCAATTTATGAAAAATACAATTAATTAATACTAACCTATATATTATATGTAAATAGGGAAACATCATAAAAAGCCATTCTGATAGTTATCGGTGTTTTAATGTAATTTACCGATTAGAAAATAAGATTTAGCAATATTCATATGATCAGATGTAACGTTGGGCAAACAATATAATATTAAAAATAATTTTATTTTACCTTTGCGTCAACAAGAATCAGCTTTAGTATTTTCCCTGACCCTTTTGCATTTTTATAAGTTGCCTCTGCACTTCGAAGTATGATAACATGAATGGTCCATTCTTTCTAAAATTTCTTGAGCTGGCTTATTTGGATGTGCTGAGTATGTTCTTCAATACCGGTAATCATATTTTCTGTTAAATAGATTAAAATATACATGTTAGTTTTGAACAATATTATAGAATATACCATATCATAGAAAATGAATTTATTAATTCTTGTTCCTCATAAGATTTTGAATATTTTTAACTGACAATATAGTTTGAGTGGGTTTAATAAGTGAATGCTAAAGGGAAAAAGTTATACAATATTGAAAATTATAAATTATAGGAATGAACATACACAATTATTCTTATAAATTAATTACCTTTAGAATATCTATTGCGACTTTGAAGTTCATTTCATGTTTGTTGGCTGGAGGACTTCCTTGTATACTATATTTTTTGTGTACCTTTCATATTCTTTAAATTGTCCGTCTGATATTATTAGGACTTTGGTTGTTGTCATTGAAGTCCCTCGTGATAAAGCAACATACAGCTGTCCATGAGAGAAAACGTGTTGAGGTAGATAGATGCCTACATGAGGAATTGTTTGTCCTTATGATTTATTGATTGTCATTGCAAAACATAGCCGTATTGGAAATTGCTTTCGTTTGAACTTGAACGGGAACCCTTCATCTTCTGCTGGAGATAATGGTATTCTTGGCAAGAAAACTTCTTTCCCTGCATGTTGGCCCATTGTGATCTTAGCATGGATTATATTACAATTAAAATCTTGACATACCATTCTTGTTCCGTTGCATAGCCCATTAGTCGGATCCAGGTTCCTTAATAAAATAATAGGACAATGTTTCTTTAATACCAGCTTGTGAGGTGCTAGTCCATTTGGTAGCAATGTGTTTAGGAATTCTGGCTGGTAGTGATGATTAGTGTCATCAACTGCTTCATCAAAGCTGTAGAATTCTTTTTCTTCACCTAAAAATTGTTTTATGATTCTATCATTTAGCATGTCGACATATTCATTTTTTGTTGCCAGGATAGCTCGATCCATGTCGACATATTCATTTTTTGTTGCCAGGATAGCTCGATCTTTCATATAGTCAATGGATTTGAAGTTCTCATCTAAAGATGGGAAAATTGCATTTATTAGACAATCTTCTGGTAAATCATCACTTTGATTCTT